GGGCTGGGAACGTCGCCCTCAGGGCCCCGGGGGGTGTCTGTGCCACGGGGGGAGCGCGGCCCGCCCTGCGTCACGCGAACGGGCCGCCCGGGCTTGGAAAACATGGTGAATCACGCTCTGTCTGCGCTGCGCTCCCTGGCACGGCCGGGAATGGGGAGCGGGGATCCCTGATCAAAGCAGCTGCGCCAGGAAAAGTCCCTGGGATAGATCCAGTCTTGCCAGTATGCTGTGTTTGGCTTGGAGAAGCTGTTCAAATTAAACTCCATCCAGCGCGTTGCTCAGGCGTAGATGTTGCCTGAGACTTCGGCCGTGGGTTGGGGGAAGGAGGGCAAATGCCAGGAGGAAAAAAAACAAGGGAAGCACTTCCACCCAGGCATTCCTGCGCAGTGCGGTTTGGGTGGATGCTGCCCAGTTCCTGCTGAACCCCTTCTCAGCCACAACCTTTATTTACTCTTGTCACACATTTATTTTTGTCCCTCAGAAATAGACATGGTTCAGTTAATAATGTCTTTGTTAATACTGCTGTTTGTTTTAGCATGACAAGTTATTTTAAAGCACAAAACAATAAATAATTCCACTTAACCTCTAAAGACGACAGTAGTAATTACAGTCCTGTGAAGCATGCTTCCAAAAAACATCTGACACAACAAGTTTTGAACATGAAGTTGAATTTTAAAAAATCTTTAGAGGCGAATTAATGACCATTCTTTTCATGTTCTAAACCATTGAAAGGCTAAGGACAAGAGAAACGTGTGATGTCCAAAACAGGCTTTAATCAAGTAGAATAAAACCATTAAAAAGTAAAGTTGGGCACTTTCTTTGTTTTTCTTTGTAAGTTTTTTATGATTTCTTTGTAATTCGTTTGTTAGAGGATTTTTTGGCTTTTTTACATGGGTGGCTTCGGTTTAGAGAAATTCTTGTGACTTGGAGGAACACTTCGTTTCTCAAGCAAGAATCTTGCTTGTCAGATTAGCATGTTGTGTCTGTACCTTATTGCTGACCTTCAGTGTGTTGGGATAGCAGGGCAGGTACTTTCAAATCTTGGCACCTGGCAGGAAGAAAGGAGAAGGTAGCTTTACAAAAATAAGTTAGCTTGTTCATTTTGGCAGGAAAATGGGAAAAGAAGAGAGGAAAAAATAGAGCAAAAAGCAAAGCAGAAGGGGGGAAAGGAAGGATGTACACAAGCCAGAAAAACAAGGAGTGGCTTTTCAGAGTTGATTAGTTGGAGATAATCTTCAAGGTCCTGACCTGTTCTTTTGAGGTCTGAGCTTTCTGCAGAAATGGCTGAGCTTTCTGCTCTCATGGTGTTCTGTACTTCTGCTGTCCCACATGGATGATAGAGGAATAATTTGCATTAAAGATGTTTCTTGGAGGTGAAATTAATGTCACTGACTGACCACAGAAATGAAAACAAATTCAAATCAAATAAACTTTTTGCTCCACCTCCTTAAAATCAGAATAAACTGACCTAGCTTTGTAGTAGTGCCATTTGAGTAGAATCAAATATTCTTTTATGTGTGGCATGCAAGTTTCTCTAAGTTTTGCATGTATTTGAAAGATTAAGAGATGAGAAGGTTAGAAATTTTCCAGTCAAAACTCTCCTGGACACAATCCCATGCAACCTGCTGTAGGTGAACTGGCTTTAGCAGTGAGAGGGTTGGACTAGATGATCTCCAGATGTCCCTTCCAACCCCAGTGATTTTGTGATGTGAAAATATTAGGCTATTTTTAGCTGTTGTTTGTATTTCTTTAATGTACCTTACTTAGTGGACGTGAACATGGAGGTAGACTTTTCAGATTTTCTTTCTTACTGAGCTGTGTTTCCTGCTCCTTTATGAGGTCTTGTGATTACTTTTTCAATGACACTTCATTAAAGTACAAGGTAATCATGTTATGGTAGCTTTAATTCATCATCATCTGAAAAAAACCCAGTAGATAATGAAATTACTAAAGATTGGATAACCTTGTTTGCCAGCTTTTAGAGGCAGTGGTTGTGTAGAATAAGCACGCAGTGCTCTGCTGAAGATAATTTAAAATAATGCTTTTGGGATAAATGTTACAGTACTGAGATTTAGGGAAATGAAACCGCAGTGAAATCTGCTAGTAAAGACTTCTTTTTCTTTCCCTTTGCAATGCTGTTCAGGATGTTTGCAGTCCACTGTGCTTGAGACTGCACCTGGAGGCAAGGGATGTGAAGGGCACTGGAAAAGGCTTCTGTGGAGACGCCACAGTGGTGAAATGGTGACTAGGGAGAATTTGAGGCTGGTGCTAAATGGCACAGGAGACCTGATGTCACAAGGTTGAGGGCAACATTTTTGCTTTGATCTTTATTTGCAAGGCCTGTTTCCAGCTTTCTCAAGTCCCTGGGTGCAGCCACATGAGTCTGACAGTGAGACACTTCTTTGTCTATGGTAGAAGAGGAGCAAGTGAGGGACAGGCCGGTTCTGTGAGGCATGCATTGAATGGGATGCCTCCAAGGGAGCTGGCCAGTGTCATTCATGGATTGTTTTGGGCTTGAAGGGACCTTAAAGATCATCTATTTTCAAGCACCCTGCTGTAGGCAGGGACACCTTGTGAGAATGGTCTCCACAAGGCAGTGGATTTGTTGGCAGGAGGGCTCCCAGTGTCTGGAAGAAAGAAAATGTCACATCTGGCTTCAAGGAGGAAGAGGATATGAGGAAACTACAGGCTGGCCAGCCTAACCTTAGCCTTGAGAAATATTATGCGGCAGATCCTCCTGAAAGCCATGTCTTGCAAGGCAAGAAATTGTCTGGATTAGGGAATAGCTGGAATGGATTAGCCAAAGTCAAATCTTGTCTGACCCATCTGATTGCCTTCTGTGATGGGATGAGAGGCTTAGGGTACCAGTGAATGTTGTTTACATTGGCTTGAATGGTGGTTGAGGAGATAACCTCAGATCTTGGAGGCAGTGGGCACAGGCTGTGGCAAGCAAAGTTCAAATGTGTGTAAGGAACGGCTTCTTTACAGCAAGAGTGGTCACTGGAACAGGTTCTCAGGAAGTGTCAGGGAATCTCCATCCTTCAAGATACTAGAAACTCAAGTGGCCAGGGCCCCAAGCACCCTCCCAACTTCAGAGTTAGCTCTGTTTTCTGCAGGGATTGTACAAGATCATCTGTAGACTTCCCTGAATTATGCTGTGATACTCAACACCCTGTGGAGTTCTGGTAATGAAGTACCGTATCAGATGCAACTTAAACCAGTTCCCATGCATACAAGTTTTTAACCTCTGTCTCTTTAAAGTCAGATGCTTTGGAGCATCCTAACATGGTGTGGGAAGTGAAGACAAATCAAATGCCTAATGCAGTTCAGAAACTCCTTCTGGTAGTGGACAAGAGAACTTCAGGAATGAACGAGTCACTGGAGTTGCTGAAGTGTAATGAAAACCTGCCCTCTTCTCCTGGATATGCATCCTGTGATGAGCACATGGAACTTGGTAAATAACATGACTTTTTCAAGAGAAGCTGAATTCTGAAGTTCATTGCAGATTTCCTATACTGAAATTACTGGAAGCTGATGCTGATTTTTAACTTAAGTAGGACAGGGAATGTGACAGTGAATTGTGACATCTGAAGGTCTTACTTTGAAGTCAGTTTTCCCTTTAACCCATTTCCAGTTCTTACACGCTGGCCTTTTGACTCAAATGTTTTCTTGAACTCACAGCCACAAATTTCTGCTACTAATCCCCAGAGAAACAATTTTTTGGCACAAGAATAACAAACACAACGCTCAAGAGCTCCTCCTAAAGAGAAATTATGCTGCTTTAGATCTGCTGCAAATAAAGATTCTGGGCTGGAGGAACATTTAACTTCAGTTCTTATGTACTGGAGAAAAATAGCATGTACATTAGAAAGTATTGATATAATCAGTGAAATATTAACACATTTAATTGAACTCATGGAGTGATTAAGAATAATGAAACTTATTCTGTATGGGATGTGAAAGGTGTAGGTTACTGACAGGAATTCACCCCTACTCAGCTTTCATGATTTCTGACTTAATTCCAGTTCCCTGGTGGAACGTGGAAAACTTTTATCTTGAATAGCCTTTGATATTGATAATTTTTAGTGTTACACCTGCTAGGACAGATTAATTTAATTGCCTTTTGTTGAATGTTTTAATATTTCAGTTAAGCGTGTAACTATGCTACATTTTGCATAGTTCTGCAGTACAGTTCTATGTAAACTGGTACCAGAACTACATTTTTATATAGTTAACTTATTTTTTTCTTAAATTTCTTGTGTGACTGTACGTTAGACTAGAGGCATTACTATTTCTGGGGCCATTTTGTCAGGATTACGAATAGGATTTGTAAAATGTTGGTAGTTCTGATACAAAAAAAATAAAACTATTGTGGTTCCTTTTTTATTTAAATTTGCAATATTTGATGTCATCTAGAATTGGGTATAATTATGGTAATCTGTGCTTTTGTTTGTAGATGATCTTCCTGAATTACAGGCTGTGCAGACAGATTCTACCCCACCTGCACTTTTTCAGCTTGGTGCTGATGTTTCACATCAGGAATGTTCAAGGCCTTCATGGAACCAACATACCTCAAACAGCAATCCAGAAAATGCTTATTCTTGTGAGAATGGGGTGAACTGGTTGACAGAATTAGCAAATATAGCCACAAGTCCTCAGAGTCCTTTGATGCAGTGCGCTTTTTATAACAGGTACTGACATTCTTTTCAGTTTTGAACTGTGGGGATTTGTAATACTGTGTCTCCAGAAACATTTCCTTCACTCTTTATACCTTCTGAATTTGAACTGGAGCTCTGTTCTTTGATCTGTTTAGTATCTTTATTGTTCTGTGAAAGTATGCACAGGACTCATCTCAGAGTCTGGTGCAAAAGCTACTTAGTTTCCAGACATGAATGAGGTGGGATGATATAACACATTGATATAACGACATTGCCTAGTCAAAGCAGGTCCAGAAATTATGGATGTTTACTTCATGTGAAGCAACTGATGAAAAATTAAAAAGAATTTGTTGTGTTAAATTCTTAATGCTTTCTAGTGCACTGATTTTAAAATTTTTTTTAACAGAGCTTATTGGAAATCTAATGCAAAGTATATTTTAGTGATAACTGTTTCAGGTCTGTGATCTGTAAATTCCATGAGGCTGTGAGCAGCAGTGCGGAATCTTGAAAATTTTTGGGCTTCACTTCTCATTTTACATCCTAGTCTTAGGTTTATATTTAGAAAATTAAATGCGGTGCTGTTAATAGTAATGCAGTTGAGATTTAATTATTAGGGCGGAGCAGATGTCTTTGTTTACTCTTAAGAATGGGGTATTCACTTCAATATATTTGTAAAAACTTCAGCACTGTGACAGTGAGATGCTGTTGTGGAAGTAATACTGTCATTTGGGTGCTGTATAGAAGCTATGCAGGAGTTATGCTAAATATTCTCTTTGCCTGAGCTTGCACCTTTTAATCATCCCATTTGAATACTAGTGTGTGGGAGGTTTATTTGGTGTTCAGCTCACTGAAACAGAAATATTTGCAATAAAAGCATTTTGGAGTAACCGCAGCGAAGTCTCGTTGTCTTAATCTGAGCTATTTTAAAATACTTGTTTTTATTGTAGATCATCTCCTGTTCACATAATAGCTACAAGCAAAAGTTTACATTCCTATGCACGTCCTCCACCAGTATCTTCAAACAATGATCCTAACTTCTCCAAGAATGATGTGGATGAAACACCAGTCAGACACGAAAGGGTGAGTTGTTCTGAAACATTTTAAAATGAAGATGTATGAGTAATGAGTTAAGTTCTTTGAAAAGGGAAACTGGTTTTAAAAAAATAATCGTTTAGTACCCATACCATTTCTATTTAAGCTGGATTTTCTGTTTCTTTTTACCACACAGGGTAGGCTTGTAGTGCTGCTTTATAGAGTTCACATTTTTTCTGAAGAGATCCCATTCTAAGAATACTTTGCTGCTACTGTAGTTCCCTCTATAGCAAGCTGTAAAAAACTCTATTAACTCATTTGCAACCTCAAAAGGAAATATGGATCTCTCTCCTTTTAGATGCACAAATACTGTCGGTCCCATGTCTCCCTTTCCTGAGTATTAATTTGTGTCTGAAACTTGTCTGTTAATGACACTGAATTTTTCCAAGTGATTTATCTGGAACCAGCTTGAACCTGCAGCTTTCCAGTAATTGGACTATAGAGTAACATGTGCTTTGAGTGAGTCTGTGGATGACCAAAGAGTGATAGCTTGTAAAAGGCTTACACCTAAGCATAAGATAATCCATAGGTGTGTAAAAATCAATCTCAGAGAATGAAACCCAAAAATTTCAGGATGCATCTCAGAAAAGGAGATGAAAACGCTCCATTCATATTTACTGCATTCCTTGAATCTCTGTGTTACATTCTTATTGGTATTTGAGGCAAAATGATGCCACAGCTGCAAATGAGTGACTGTGTCTTAAGACATATAAGACCAACCCTAAAATCTTAAATCTTCTGTAATAAAATATCAACACCATTTTGCTTTTTTTTAATAGGCGAATAGTGAGTCAGAATCTGGCATTTTCTGCATGTCATCACTTTCAGATGATGATGATTTAGGATGGTGCCATTCCTGGCCTTCAACTGTTTGGCATTGTTTTCTAAAAGGTAAAATAACATGTACCATCAAATAAGTATTTGTTTTGTCTCCTCTTTTTTTTTTTTTTTTTTGGTAAGAAAGACTTTTTTACCTAACACTAATTTTTTTCCCTTGAAAAAATCTGTTAGGCTCTCGTTTGTGCTTTCATAAAGGACGCAATAAAGAATGGCAGGATGTTGAAGAGTTTGCAAGATCTGAAAGCTGTGGAAAAGAGGAAGATCTCCCAGTGAGCCCTTACAAGGTAACCATTAGTTCTAATAAATTTATTTCAATACCTGTAGCAAATATTTAGCAATGCTTATATTATCCCTGTACCTTTAATTACCATCTCAGGAATACAGGTTGACATTTAAGATGTCTAGAGCTATTCGAGTATCCTACTATAAAGTACTCGAATTTAATTCATTTAGGTATGTTTTGAATGTTACATCATCTTTACCAGCAAGTTAGAAATACTAATTAAAATGTTGGTGTACAGTGTATGATGATGAGTATACACCTGTAGTATACACAGGTATAGGCTTTTTGGGGGGGAAGTTTTTTGAACTGTGTGTGTGTTTACAGGACTATGGTTCCAATGGTCTAAAGTTGATTTCTCACGAAGAAAGTATTTCCTGTGGTGAGTCAGTGCTGAAGCTGACTTTTGATCCTGGCACAGTGGAGGATGGCTTGCTTACAGTAGAATGCAGACTCGACCATCCATTTTATGTTAAAAATAAAGGTATGAAATACTACAAGTACAGTTGGTTTTATATTAAAATATTCTCAGAAAGTGATTACACATTTTATTGGCATCCCGTATTGTTCAAGAAATTGATAGAAAGTTGTGGTGTAGAAACAATTTACTCTCTTTGTAAAGAAATCCAGAATTTGAACAAACAAAACTAAAGCCATAAAGGTACAGGAAGACTGCCTATATCTTAAGAGAAGATTTGATCAAATATATAAATGGAGCTCAGGAAAACAGAAAAACTGGGGGGGGCGGGGGAGAAAGAGCCGCAAATAAGAGGCTTCTCTCACTTCCTAAACATGGAACTTATGATGGTAAAAGTTTCCAGGTTTTGATTACTTTTTTGATAGAATGAGATTTTATTTGAGATAAAAATGAACTGTTTGCAGTAAGAATTCCGTAATTAAGTGTTTCTGATTTTTCTTTTGGGTGAAAGAAACTACATCAGAACATTTTTATAAAATTATGTAATTTAGAGATGTAGGATTGCTCCAATGAAGAACCGGAGAGATTGTCTGGCCTTTTGTCTAATTTAACTCTTTACCACTTCAGGTTGGTCATCTTTTTATCCAAGCTTGACTGTGGTACAGCATGGCATTCCATGCTGTGAAATGCATCTTGGAGATCTGTGTCTACCTCCTGGACACCCTGATGCCATTAACTTTGATGATTCAGGTGTTTTTGATACATTTAAAAGGTAATTTTTGGATAAAGTGGCCTCAGTGGTTCTTGTATTTAATGAGTAGGCACCTTAAGTCTAGAAGAATTTGAAGCATTATATAGAGCAAAGAGAGAATAGTTTTAGTAATATAAGATAAATGATAGGGAAAAATGAATACTCAGGACTAGAAAAGCTGTGTGTAATTATGTACTCTGCTAACTGCAAAGTAGTACTTTGGAATGAAATAACTTTTCAGCCTCTTTTTATAATATTTTAAGACAGATTAGATAGAGCAGTAAAAGTATATATATTACTTGTATAAATTCTTCAGGTAAAGTGAATTATGTTTGAAAAACCTAGTACAATTTTCCCATAGTAATATGCCTGCCAGCTGTTACCTTGTGCTTCCTATGCAGCTACGTATCTTAATTATCTGAGTAGTTTCTTAGTGATAAATGCTTGTGCTATGGCTTTAGAATACAGTACTTTCATAATTACTTCCTATTTTTGTGTATTCTTTTTCTTGGGATTCTTTTGTATTATAGCAAACCTACCTAACTTCAAAGTTTGATTAACTTTGAGGTTTTTCTGAGCTAGAAGTTCAACCAGATAACCTTCAGAGGTCCTGTCCAACATAAATGATTCTAAGATTCTAACGAAATACTTAAGATTTTTTTCCATACTATTTTGAGATTTCTAGGTTTAGTAGAATCCATCTTCTCCTATATGTTAGCACCTTTTTAGCATCTGTTTTTAGTCCAGTTGCTTTTTGGGTTTTTTTACAGTAGAAGAAAAGGAATTTAAAATTCTGTTTGCAGTTCAGGCCCTGGGAACTCTTGTGTGATTTCAGTCTGGCATGGAGAGCAAGTTCAGATTGCTTGGCTTCACTCCTTTGCTGTCTGGGTTTTTTTTTCTTCTTACTAACTCCTGTTCTGAACTGCATACATAGAGAGCTGTTAGAATCACTATAGCTACATCTCACTGAAGAAATTGGACTTCTGGCTCCTTACTGATCCTGCAACCCAGCTGAGTTCTGCCTGAACACTTCAAATTCCTTGCCTTTCTTTCTGGGCAGAAGGGAGTAAGTGACTGAGAAGGAAGTGTGCAGCAGCAGCTGTAGTTAACAGGACAGAAGAATTAAAAAACAAAATCCTGTTGCTGTGTTATGAGAAGGAGATGAGGAGTAGGGAAGGAGATTAGGAATAGGAAGAGTGCTGGACTGTTGTAGAACAGGAAGGTCATTTCTCCTTATCTTGTGATAGCCTGCAAGGTTGTCAGCATTATCACATTATGTTAGAAGCAACCCTTCAGGCTCCACTCTTCCTTGTGGTTCTGTCCCACAAAAGGAGCTACCTTTGCAGATTGGGGCTAGACTGCCACATGCTGTTATTTCCTTGTTAGTAGTTCTACTTCGTGTTCAGAAAAAAGCTCTTCAAAGCCCTTATTTTGACCTTAAATTATGCAATTATTAGCCACACTGAGCAGTGTGTGAGTGGAGCCTTAGCATATATATGTTTTGTGTTTATTTTGTGGTGGTAGTTTAATGATTTATGATTGAGTAGCACCTTTCCAAGTGTGTTTTATCCATATAGTGTGCTAAAGACAGCATAGCCTTTGCTTCCTAGGCTGTATCTGCACACCTGGAGATGGTAACAGATAGTCTGTGGAATTAAACTTCTTCGGTAGCACTTAGAGGTTAATTGTAGTTGTCGGTCGACTAAAAATTGCAAGAGTTTGGAGTATTTGGAGGTCTAAATTTTATGGAAACAACTCCTCAAAGCTGTTCAAATACCTTGAAATGCCGAGGAATGTCGCGGTTTTGTCACTAGAGGGCAGGCGTTTGTCAGCGCTGCACCAAATGGTGCGACGTCACGGGGCTCTGAAAAGTGGTGTTATCTCAGTGGAAGGTTCGTGTGTCACACAGTGTGTACTTAACTGCCGAGAGAAGTTACTTGCACAGTAATGCATGTAATTTATTTTAATTTAGTGCTTTCATATCTGTCCTTAATATGTGTATGCAAGTGAACTCAATGCTTATTCTTTCCACATCACTTGTCCCTTTCACTACCTGTCATTCACTGGACAGGCTTGATTTATGGTAAGGACAGAAGCAGAAAGAAAGAAGTGTATTTCAAAAGAGGATGGAATTTGAAGACAGTGTATAGCTGATTGATACACAGCTGGGGAGTTGAAAGTACACAGCAGAACGTGTGAAGTTGCAGTCTGCCATCACATTGAAGAAAATACTAATTTATCTGCCAGACTCTTGTTGTGGTTTTTTGTTTTTCACACTGACATCTGCATCAAGCACAAATCTTTATGTCACACAAAAGAGACCAGGATACTAGAAATGTAGTACAGTTGAAGAGTGAACAGGTATTTTAGGGATTTTACATGAAAATCACTCGATCACTGTCTGATGTCTTTTTCTTGTAGCTACGATTTCACCCCGATGGACTCCTCTGCAGTGTATGTGCTCAGCAGCATGGCCCGCCAGCGCCGCGCCTCTCTGTCCTGTGGAGGATCAAACAATCAGGATGCTGAGAGATCAGAATGCAGTAATAAAAACTGTGCCTCTCCTGCATCGTCACATCTTTCCTCCAATCCTTTGTACAGCAAAGCTGCCAAAAGCCACAGCTCAGGGACTGCAAGTACTGTGAGTGCCACTTCTCCAAACAAGTGCAAAAGACCAATGAATGCCTTCATGCTTTTTGCCAAAAAATACAGAGTTGAATACACTCAGATGTATCCAGGGAAAGACAACAGGTAATGATATAAACTGTACTTTTGCTATTATGGGTGAGCTAGCAGAATATCTCTCTCCCTATATGGCCTAAATTTTGCATTTAAAATACAGTGTGTTTATATTGTTTTAAGAACAAGTTTTGAAAGATGCTAACCTGAAGGGTAATTTAGGGGTGGACTGTAAATATTTACAGTATGCAGTGAACTTGATACAAGCCAGTTTTGGCAAACTTAATTTCTGAGAAAGCATTTGGGTAAAGCAACAGATACATGTATATATGTGCATCAGCAGAGTCACAAATACAGAACAGTCTTTGTTTTCACTGATGAGTGAGGAAGTGCTCTGCTTGTGTGCTGTAATGGAAAAAAGGGAATTTCTGGTTCTTCTAATTATGTCTTGACATAATATTGGAAATTGTTCATGCAGTTAGAAGCATTTATTTCCAGTCTATATATCCTTTTGAATAATGGAGTACTGATTGTTAGGATATCTGAAAGATCTTAATCCAGACAGTACATTGCCAAATTTTACTTGTCCTAAAGGCATTCAGCAATCTGCTGAAACTTGCAGGAAGAGTTGTATGACTGTTTGGGGGACGGGTCTTTGTTAGTTTGTTCTTCTGTTCTTAATCTATAGGTACATTCGCTTCTAAATGTTTTTTATAAAGATCTCTAGTACATATGTTTTAAGTAATATTTTGTGCTAATTATGCATATGTAAATAGAAACTAAAGCACATGAACAGGCACTGATCTTAGATTTTTTAATGTATGTAACGTTATGAAAACTTTGCATTGTGACAAAAATTCTAGTACTAAATCTGGTAAAAAAATTAAAGTTGACAGTGCTTTGAAAGGGGTTTTGCCTATTTTATAATGTTCTAGTAAGGAGGCTGTAACTGCTATTGAGAAATAAAATCCTGCTTTATAAATAGCCTATCCTTAAATCCCAGCCAGTCTTGTGTGTCCCAGTGATGTTCTGTAATATTTATAATAAGTTCAGTGAAGCAGATCTGCTGCCTTCACATTCATTGCAACTATCAATGAGAAATGGAACCAAATATCAGCCAGGAAAGTTTATGATGGTTATACATTTAATTGAGTATGCTGATTTCAAATGGATGCAGTGAACTGGAGCTGCAGCTGCATGGATGTGAAAATAAGCTGAATATTTCAGTGAGGAGGTTTACCTTGAGGGAAAGTGATGACAAAGTTACAAGTGAGCTTCAGAATGCATTCACTGCTCACTGCCTCGTTTGGAAGGCAGTGCATTTGGGTGCAGTTTCGTGGCATCCATAAAACACAGTACAGCACAAACAGAGTTAGGGATAATTGATGTTGCAGAAATTTTGCTACTGTTGCTAAAGTGTTGCTGAGGCATTTATTTGGCTGTTCAGAGACAACTCTTTTTTTAGAAAATGTAAGTTTGTGTCATTTTCATATTACTGAGTAGATGTTACAATGTAGTAGTTACTTTTATACATTGGAGTTATGTTTGTTACAGTTACTTTATTTTCCTTACCCCTGTAAGACAGGACAGAACTTGAGGTATTCAGAGTTACAGGGTCTGTTCAGAGACAAAGAACCTCTCAAGCCATGTGAGCAAGAGAGAGAGCTGTAAACAAAGCAGGAGTCAAGAGTCAGGGGATACTTGAAACTACTGTGGGCTGTAAGACCATGTTTGAGAAACTGGTGTTAGGGCTGCACTTGTTTATTTTCTAGATATTCTCACTGTAACTGTTGTTGGACTTGGTGGTGCATTCAGAAATCCTTGAATAATTTGAGTAATGAACCTTCTAAAGATGAGGAAAATAATATTTTTTATTTGAAATACAAAGATTTCATAGCACATTTTGATTTGCTTTTTCAGCAAACCTCCTCTCTCTGGGTCACCATGTTCTTTCCTGGGGGTGTGAGTGACCCAGTACAAACTGGTGACCCAAAGCAGACAGGTTTCTGTTGATTTGCCTCTGGACACTGTCAAAACATGAAAAATCTGCTAATTAAATTGGGGTTTGTTTGCTTCTGATGACAGACCAAAGATACTGGTTCTCAGTTAGGATATAAAACCAGAAATTCCATCGCCAAAGAGACAGGCTGTGCAAATGGGTTTGATGTTGGTGGGATCTGGTGGCAGCTTGAGGAGTTTGCTCTGAGTAGTCACCAGAGCATGTGACAGCACAGGCTGAAGGGCAGCCCCAGTGCAGGTCAGGCTGTGCTCCCTGAGTGCTCTGAGAAAGTCTGAATGGTACCAAAAACTCTTGCAGGATTCAAAATCCATTTTCTTGGTGTGGTGCAGAAAAGCCTTCAGAATTGCTGTATGTGCCATGTTATGGAAATGGTTGATGACACTCCACAGTCAGTTAGAAAGTCTATGAATAGCTTTGCTGCCAGCAAGGAACTTGTTAATAGTAGAAAGCAAAGGACTTAGTTGTGTCCACCTTTTTGTTAAAGCTCATCATAGAACTCTCATCACTGTAATCTGAAGCCAAAGTGTTCAAACTACTCATTAGCTTGTAATTGTCATTGATAAAAGAGCTGTTGTTTAGAGATTTTTGTTCAACTGAAGGATGGAGTTAAAGCTTTAATGGGATATTGATCCAACATTTGGGAGTGCAGTTAAGCAATATGGCATGATAATACAGGGAAATGTTCTCAAAAGACCTAGAGTTTAGAGAGAGTAGGAAAGGAATTAATTTAGCTTCTGGAAATGGTGATAGATGTGTTAGAACAAACGGTTCCCTTTGCACAGGAATGGGAACTTACCATTGTGTTCTGCCCAGCATGAATTAAAGGTGGAGGAAGCTACACATATTGATTAAATAGACATGGGGGCTTGGAGTTAATCAAATATTTGTTTGGCTGAGGTCATATTCAGTTCATTGCCCTAATTATTAGAGAACATATTTTCAGCAAATCTGTCATATTATCTTTTAGTATGAAAGTAGAGCAAAACAAATGTGAGTTACCATTTGGTGGTGTTTTTTTTAACATCCCTATTTTGCTGGTTTATGCCAGTTGCTGCGTATTCAAATGTACACCCTTTGAAATGTTAGAATGTGCACTGACCCATGCTCAGCTAACACAGAAGTCTCAGCTGTTTAACTATTAAAAGAGTGATGAGAATATAACCAGAAACATGATTGTTAAAAATGCTAAGATACACTTGATTTTTTCCTTCTGTGTTATTCCCCCATTTAACTTCTGTCTTCTTTAAAGTTCTCAGATAAAAAAAGAAAAAAATCAGGGTATTTCTTAGCACCATCCTGACCACACTGTAAACATTTATCTTGCAGAGCCATAAGTGTGATACTCGGGGACAGGTGGAAGAAGATGAAAAATGAGGAAAGACGGATGTACACACTAGAAGCCAAGGCCTTGGCAGAAGAGCAGAAACGTTTAAATCCTGACTGTTGGAAAAGAAAACGAACAAATTCTGTATGTTTGTGAAGCAATCTTTTTCACTGTGCACTTATATGTGTTCATACAGGTAGCTACAGTGGGGTTTGTGCAGTACAAGTTGCGTTCTTGGTAGCCCAGACCTTCTTCAGGAGAGGGTTTCTCTCTGAATATTTTATATGAGAGTTTTGTGAATTCTGTTGGACTGAGAAGTGAGTGTGTTTGTGAAATGTGGAGGAAGGGTACATGACCTTTTGTTTGAAGTAACTGAGTTTATAAGGTTGTACCTGAATTTTTTTTGTTCAGTAAAAGCTTTTTCTTTACCTTTTTCTCTTTTTTTAATCCTTATTTATACCAGCATATATGAAGATATTAAGGGAGCAAAATAATTTTTTCCTGGTGAATCCCTTTGACTTATGACTGTGTTTAATTGTAAAATAAATACAGTAGATAACACTACTTCTGTAGGGAAATAAATTGTTTTGCACTTTGTAGAAAGTCATCAATCTAAGATTGTAGGTGTGGATTAGTAGGTGGTGGATGTATTAAAGAGAATGGCTTTCAAGCTGAACCATCATATAAAGCACACATCAAAAAAAAGGAGATTCAGCTTGTTCAGCTAGAGGAGTAGGTTGGAAGGAGAGATCACTGAGGTGCACAGAATGCCAAGTGCTTTCATCAGCCATTTTATGCCTGGGCAGGAGCTTGAAGTGTGGTGTGGACTTCATCTCCGTAGTTGGTGAACGTAGTGTAAGATTTCATCCTCAAGTTACCCCCCCTTCCTTTCATGTGTAAATGAGGCTGCTTTCTCAAGAGCATATGCAAGTGTTGCCTTAAGACTGAATAAGAAATGCTCCTACACTTAAGTTGCTTCTTTCTGCTCTACATTGTGCTGAGTTCCCAGTCCCTTGTTGCAGAAGGTTCTACCAAATCCCAGCTGCTAGGAAAAAGCTGGTTTTCTTTTCACTGCATTCTATCAACAGTCTCATCTTATGTTAGATTTCCTTGTGGGTTTAGTTAAAATACTAGTCTTTATTTTTTCTGCTTCTACACTACTGCAGTATTGGACTTTAGATGGTGAGATCACACACTCACCTGTGAGCTTCAGGCAACTCAGAGGCATTTCTGCAGCTGAGAGGAGTAGTGATGAGTTGGCCTCAGTAGGAAGGATGGCTTTCTTACACTGCCTTGTAGTAGGATTTTCCTTGTCCTTAGGGGCTTCAGGCCAAGAGAACAGGATCTGTAGAACCTCAGTGTTACATCAGGAAATGCCTTTTTAAATTATTTAATTCAGTGAACTGAACTGTTTGCAGCTTGGTTACCTTACTAATGACTGGTGGACTCCAGGCTGTGACAGAGAAGTCTTGATGTCTGTTTTTGGCCTTTTTGTTATCTTCTGAATAACTGACCAGTGAAAAGTACTTGTGGCTTTCAGAACAAGTGTTAGCTAGTTTTAAGGTTAGATCTGCTTCTCCTTTGCTTGGTAACTGCTAACCTGGTTTTCTCTTCTCTTTTCTCAGGGCTCACAACAGCATTAAGCCAGAATTTTTCTGTTAACTCTGTGTTTGCAAAATGGCTGTTGCTCAACGGCAAGAAGATGCAAAAGATCAAGGTCTTACTATTTTTTGTGACTCTGTGTGACCATAAAATACTGGCACCATCAAGTCGGAAATGATCTGAGTGCAGATTTGCTTTTTACAATAGAACATTAAGTAAGCTAAAACTATCAGCATTTTAAACCAAATTGCCTTATTTTTCTTCCAAACTTCATATATGTATCAGGTAATATAGGCTTGAAAATGGATATCCTGTGGTGCTAAAGTACTTTAGAAAGAGGCGAAGGAGATGTGTATAAATGTTTATTTTTAAAAGAAATGTACAAAAAGGGGAATTTTAAAATATGTAACAGCTGTTTATATACATTGATTCTTATTGCTGATTAATATGTATTGCACAACCATATTATTAATTGCAATTCTGGGGCCTGGGGTTTTCTGAAATGGCAAAGTGTATTATCAGTCTCCAGCTTCCCAGCCTGCCCCGCTGCCAGCAAGTTACCAGAACGTGTGGGAATGGAGAGCATGGTGTGATGTAGCAAAGGAGCTGCTGCTTGGGATGCCACTTATAAAACCTGTATCCACAAGGGAGATATTTTTGCATCAGCTGGCACTAGTGAGAGCTGTCATTTCATGGTGGAAACAATGGCCTGGGAGAGGATGAATGAAAAAATAACGTTATCTCAAGAAAAATGGTGCTGTTGATACCATCACCATCATAGTTATAACTCTGTGTTTTGTCTTTGCCACATATTCTACAATATTTTATTTTGCCATATGACATCTTTATGGTGGGGGCAAACTTTGCACTTAACTATACGTGCAACACTTGCACTTTACTTTTTTTTCTCCTCCAACTGTCTAAAATTAGAGCAGCTGCATTAGGATTACAATTTGCTTCTGCTGTGAACTTTTACAATCATGGCTTTTCCTGTACTAAACAGCTGTGCGTTGTTTTTTTTTTAAGAATCACAACTGTAAATTTCAGTTTATGACACGTCTACATGATGTTGCCCCTAAGATTTTTGCACACTATATTCTTGTATATTATTTCAAATAAATTCATTAAAATTTGGTGTTGTGTATTTTATAAGATGAAGAAGACCAATCACTAATTCAGCCCTGCAGCAGTGACATGTTCTGCCTGGAAGTCTTTACATGAACCCATCCAAAGTATATTTTTATGCTTTACCATTAGGAAGATGTTAAAGAATTTCAAATACTGATTTCCGGATTCAATAGTCAATGTTCTTTATTACAGTTTAAGCAAAAAGAGAGTTGAAATAAATATAAATTATTTCTAAGCAAGTAGCAGTGCAATAGAGAATCATTTAGGTTAGTTATAAATATTTTTCCTTCTGTTAAAATTAGTGATTTTTAGATGGAAACTGATGATTCTAGCATTTCAGAAGTTCAGTTTTCTGAATAAGGCTAAAATGTATCCAACTGTTTAAAACCGTACTCGTAGGAAAAGAGCTGCTTCCTTATTTGAGATATTCAGCAATTATACTGTAATATTTGACTTCTAATTTTACACTTTTCTAAATTCAAAAGGAATGCTTAAGAATGTTTCAATCAGATGTAGACTTACAGCACATAAAAGTTGTACAATTTCCTTATAATATTTCTGTATAAGTTCCTGTAATGTGAAAGTAAAGCAAGAAGACAAGTTTCAGAGATGAAGTAGGTAAACATGTTTCATTGTAAAGCTTCTGTATTTGGGAATAATTTACATGAACTGTAAATACATTTGTGGCACCAAAGACCCCCAACTGTGAACGTGTCCATTCCATATGTCGAGAGCGTTATCCAAGTGTGCTCACTGAAGGGCTGACATGGCTTTCTGCAGCAGCTGAACCATTATGGGGTAGACTGGTGCAAATTCCTTCCCCTCTCTTGTTCTGACTGATTGAACATAAGCTTCCAGTGCACCACTGAAAAAAAAAAAAAAAGAAGAGTAGCTAAAGCAATTAAGTTCAGTAAATTCAGGATCTGCAACTGAAATTAATTGCCTTCTTCCCTCCTGCAGAATTTTCATCAGATGGTCCTTACTTGTTTCTGTGGAAGGAAGTGAGCAAGAAAGGCCTTGCAAAGCTCTATATAATTGTTTCATGATCTTTTTCTCCTTTCTTGCATGTTTTGAGGAGCAAACAAGTTAACATTTAAATAAGCAGCAGCACGTTGCAGATGGCTTGAAATGACAGCTCTGACGCACAGACTCGGGCACAGTGGCAACCTTTAGAAAGGGAGAGAATAGTCCCCAGCTGCTGCAGATGCCGAGAGTGCAACTTGGAGCATGAAAACTGGGGCACTGGTGAACAACTGTGGTGCCCTCAGGTGATTTCCTGGCACAGCCTTTTGAACTGCCACGGTCCTCGGGAAACGCTGTGCTACCCACAGCCAGCGTGTGTGCGAGGTGCAGCTTGGATGTGGCTTTCTTAGGCCTTGTCACAGGGGGTCACCCATAGGGTCCTCTTGTGTGAACTGCACAGATAAAACACTGCAAAGCTAAAAGGGGCAACTGTGATGAGGTCTGTACATAACTTGCTTTACAACATGGAGCCACCTTTTAGCCAACGTTCTAGTACACAGTATTGTTGAATGACAGCATATTTGTAAAACAAAGACTTTGCTGATCTGTTCAGATTCCAGTTTACTGTCTCATTAACTAGGCGAAGTTAGTCTTGCCGCATGTAAATATGGCTTCTAATTTAATTTTCCTCTCCTTTTCTGCTTCTCCTATTTCTTCGTGTAACAGATAAAATAATCTTGGAGTTTTCTTCTAAAACTCTTTTTACATTTGTGCTATTTACAGCAAAACCTTAATATTAGGAAAACACATGCACAAGCCACAGACCCCACTTCAAGTTGAGACTTATGACAGCTCCTGGTACTTGGCTGTTCCTGTTCTGGTTGGTGACAGCAGCAGTGCTAACACAAAGCGTCATCACAGCCCTTCCCAGGCACCATCCCACAGGGCAGCAGGTCCTGCTGCTAACGTGAGCGACAGCTGCAAACGTCACTCTGGGTCACTGAGGGGGGGGTAGTCCTGGGTTTTGTCACGTGCATTCCCTCATGGATGTGCAGGACACACCAGCGCAGCTGCTCTGCCAGGGACAGGGCCCACTGGCTTTTGGTAACACGACAGGAACATTCCCAGTCCCACTGTGGGAAGGCAGATGGTTGTCATGCACATCTGGTGAAGGGAGCGGGGGGCACAGGGGTTGAGGGAGATGGTAACACAGAGCAACTGCAGTGTTGTGCCTATAAATACACATAAACTGCTGGAAGATGGTGGGCTGTTGAGGCAGAGCGGGATTTATGTTTGCTGCTACTCCCAAAAGATGAGCTTTTGGTGAAACACTGCATTCCCACCCAAAGAGTTCATGGACTGAAGGCAGCACTGCTCACCCATACGTGCCTGCTGGCAGATGGAGGCAATAGGCAGTAAATAGGCATTTAATTAGACAAGGCTTAAGGAAAGCAGAAGCACTAAAGAGTGAGATTCAGCCCATGTTTCACACATAGAGAGGCTCCTCCTGGAATAATATGTTGAGAGGAGCAGCCAAGATCCCTGTGTGGTGCTGCAGCTCTGGGTAGGGTCAGATGAGCACACCAAACCTGGCAAAGCAGAAGAGATGGAAGGAGGATGCAGGGTCACAATACACTTGGTTGCCTGTGAGTAAAGCTTGACCCTTCCTCAATGACTCAAACCCATCTGTGTCAGAGCACTGCTTGGAATTTCCAACAAAGTTCAGTTATTAACAAGTGGAAGATGCCCCTGAGGCCAAGAGCCTGTGCTCAGTTTGCTGAAGAGAGGAGTCTGAGCTTTGGGTTCCGAGAAGCCAAATGACAGCCTGGCCCCTTGAGCTGGTCCTGGGGCTGCACCTGCTCCTGCCAGCACTTCCCACCTCATCAAATCGAGGTGCTGATCCATCAGCTTCACTGCCAGAGCACAACAGGAGGAGTTGGGTGTCCCCTCGAGCATTCCCTGCTAATAGAGTTTGACAGGGAGAGAGTGAAGCAACTATGCAACCAAAGAACCTGAGGCAGCTTTCCTTCTGAGCACAGGATGGAAATGAAACAAGCACAGGCCCGAGGAGCTGCCCACCACCCACCACAGCTCCTGATGTCCCCAGGCAGCAGCTGGACTTCAGAATTGCTCTTTGCTGAAGCCCAGGGCATATTGTCTGAGACTGAAGGGATGCAAAAGGAGGATGGACTGGATTACTGGAAAGTTGAGAGGCTTCAGAAGAATAAAGTGACTGAGCACCAAAACAGTCCCTAGTGTTGGCCTTAGTGCACTTGAGAGCTCTACAGTTTTGATAACTTACTAGTGAGCTACTGCTGAGTGGTCCACAACAGGTACCAACACACTGTAAGGAGTCACTGAATTTTTTGCACATCAACAAACAGCAAGAGAGAAGCAATCCCTTGTTGCAGCCAGAAATGCAGGGAAAGAATATTTATTTTATCTAGCCAAAATAAAGCTGACTTTTTGCACCTGGTCAGCGCCCTGCAAACCTTCAGCCTGCTCCTTCCCAATGGTCCCTGGGGGGCAGCACAGGGTCTACAGGGAAAGAAGCAATAACTAAAAAACTGCTTTCTGCATCCAGAAAGTGCTTTGGGTGCAGCTCACCTCACTCTCAGCAAAGGCCATCAGCATGATGAATGGCAGAGAGATAATGCACATCCACAGGTACATTTTAAATCCCAAGATTTAAAGAGAAGAAGTAGACTTGGGGAATGGAACATCAGGAAAGTGATGAACTGGCCTCTTGTGGCAATCAGATGTGATGAGCAAACTGAGCAGCAGGTGGGAGATGGAGGCAAAGAAGGCTCATGGATGCCATCACAATGAGGAGAGATGCTGCAGAAGAGTCAGAGGTGTTTCACATTTCCACTCAGGTCAGTAATCAAGTACTCTGGTTAGCATTATCAGTAAATATGTCAGATGTTAGTTAGTTGCTACAAAGAATAGTCCCTTGTATTAAAAAAACAGTTGAGAAACTCCTGCGACAGTTTTCTTACTGTAACTAAATCCTTCCCCTTCCACTCACCAGTGTCCCTGTCTTTTCCTTTCTATATACTCCTCAAAGTTTGTTGGGCCCAAATCGTTTTTTGAAGTCATCAAGAGCTGAAAATAGAAAAACCATATTGACCTGCTTAACTTAGAAAGCTCTGACACCTCTTGGTGAAATTGTGGGTTGGCATCATTATCCAGATGGTAACACTGCTATCCCCCTCTGACTTATCTCCTTGCTTTGAAAAAGCCCTTGAAAAAGATTACAGAGATAACCAGAGAGATGAAAGGGAGAAGCTTTACCCTAAAAGCAGCACCCAAAACCACTCAATGTCAGCCCTTGATAATCCTTAGCCAGACTGTTATTCCCATCAGATCAAACAAGATGGAATGAGATTTAGGCTATGCTAAGTGCCAAACACCAGTATTAGAGTCCCACTGTCACACCTTCCAGCAGCTTTTATGTCTTTTTCCTTCTCTCCTGCCCTAAAAGAATCTGATTTAACTGGCAAAACCAAGTTCATCAGTGGCAGCCGCTGTCCTCTTGCAACTTAAAAATCAGCTCAAAGGAATTGTTTGGTGACCTCAGAACTGCCCAGATCCTTCTCCAAGAGCCAAAAGAAGTTGTCTTTGTCAGCTCCCTTCTGCTGCACTTGCTCTTTTAGTGTGGCTTTGCTTGTATTGTTTCAGAGACAGAGTCAAACTTCACCAGTATGACCCACCCAGGAGCATTTTAACTAATTCTCTTACCCACTCAAAAAAACAACCAGTAATTACTACTCCATCAATATTATAAGGTGAGTTCTCAGGCATTTTTCTGAAACAGACCTTCTACATCTTTACACTAAACAATGAAAATAAAAGCTTTCTGAACACACTAACTGCATTCAATATTTTCCTGTGTCCCACACTTGCATGTCCAATAAAAGTATTTAAACACTCTGAAGCTGAATGCTAAAAAGCCATTCATTATCAGTAACTCTACCTGAAGCACTGAAAGAACAGTGTTTTCAGTGAAGTGAACTGGCCTAGAGTACTCCCTGCTCCCCATGGGAAGGCTGGGAACCTGCTCCCCTATGGGCAGGCGTAGGAAAGCAGCTGAGGGGCCTCACACTGAGTGGGAGGATGAAAAGCTGCTGCAGCTGCTGAAAGCTGGGAGGGAAGAGGTAGTGCAGTCACCTGAAGCTCCACACCCTTCCTGGTGACAAGGGAACCACGGTCAAGCTCAGGAAACTCTTCTGCATTGCTGGCCATGGTAATGACACCATGGTGGAAGGCCAGGAAGTCTGTCCACTCTGTTAGGAACAACACCCCTGGGAACAAAAGGTCCAGGTAATAAAATTGCACAAATCACGAATCCAGGGAGAAAGGATGTTTGGAGTCCAGAGAATAATGATGAGGTTGCTCCAGAGTGAGAAGGAGGAATGGGGCTGGGAGAGGTATCTGAAGGCAGCAATGGTCAATAGAGTATATATTATTCCAGAAGTTCATCTGGGATGAGAGTTTTGTTTCTCTGAAGACAGTTATGAAGTCTTAAGGGGGGGATTTTGGGACTGCAACAGAGAGGAATATGGACAGTGCAGGAAGTTGCTAATGGCAAATCAAGACTGGCTGGCTGAGCTGGGCAACTTGGAACAATACACATCACTGGAGCTGTTGAAATGCCTACCTGACTGTACCTCATTTGGGGAGATAAATGAGTTTAAAGGCTTTGTTAACACTTGAAATGCAGAATTTATG